TCCGGCTTTTCCCCAAGCTGGAAAAAAGCGGCAGCCCAGTTAACAGATGCCACAGGGGATATTTAAATCCCCGGCGGATTTGCCTAATCCAACGTGCTACATTAGCATCTCTTCTCCGGAAGGGGTGCCAGCGTAGATGTAGCCAAACAGTGAACATAGGATTAGCAGACAGGGAGCTTCTATTCAACACACCACATGGTCCCCCTTTATACCATTTTCTGGGGCCAACACCCCCACCTATGGGTGCAGCAGCAATCTGGCTGCTCCCCTCAAAATCCAGTAACGTGACACCTCTAAACCTAACAAATAAATCATTTAGCATCTCTGCCATTTCCAAGTTTCCTGTTACTCTTTCTCCCTCCTCACTGAGCAATGGGCCTACCCTGTCCTTGGTCTTCTAATACATTTATAGAATGTCTTCTTGTTTCCCTTTATGCCTGTAGCTAGTTTTGTTCCTTTGCCTTTTTAATCTTGCCCCTGCATTCCTGTATTGTTCACCTATATTCCTCCTTTGTAATTTGTCCTAATTTTTTCGTACGAATCCTTTTTTATTTTTAGATCATGCAAGATCTCCTGGTTGATTTAAGGCGATTTTTTGGCCATATTTTCTATTTTTCCTACGCAGCAGAATAGCTTGCTATTAGGCAATTAATAATGTCCCTTTGAAAACTGCCAACTCTCTTCAGTTGTTTTTCCCCTCCATCTTGCTTCTCATGGGACCTTACCTACCAGCTCTCTGAAATTATCAAAATCTGCTTTCCTGAAATCAATTCTTTCTAATTTGCTGTTCTCCATTTAACATACCTTACAGTCATGAACTCTGTGATTTTCTGATCACTTTCCCCCAGGCTGCCTTCCACTTGCACATCCTCAACCAGTTCCTCCCTATTTGTTAAAATCAAATCTTGAATAGCTTCCCCCCAGTAGCCTTTTCAACTTTCTGAAATAAAATGTTGTCTCCAATGCAGTCAAAGAATTTATTGGATAGTCTGTTCCCTGCTGTGTCAATTTCCCAACATATGTCTGGATAGTTGAATTCCCCCATCACCACCAAAGCCTGAAGTTTGGATGATTTTGTGAGTTGTTTAAAAAAAGCCTTGCCCACCTCTTCGGCCTGAGTGGGTAGGTGTATTAGACCCCTAGTATGACATCTCCCTTGTTTTTTACCCCTTTTAACCTAACCCAGAGAATCTCAACACGTCTGTCTCCTATGTCCATCTCCACCTCAGTCCAAGTGTGTACATTTTTAATACATAAGGGAACACCTCCTCCCTTTTTTCCCTGCCTGTCCTTCCTGAGTAAGCTGTACCCTTCTATACCAATATTCCAATCATATTATCCCACCAGGGCTCTGTGATGCTGTTATAGCGCGGTGGGGTTTCCCTGTTTCCTGCACCCCCGTAGTGGCATGAACAGACTCTACCAGCCAGTAGAACAGAGGGAGTTTATTGCTTCTCCAGTATACAGCACAGCACAGATGTAATCTTGTTACAGGGCAGGCCTAGGATGCCTCAGCCCCCCTTGAGATGGGGGAGACTGGGCCCCTAAATTCCAGCCCCTGCCCTAGCTGTCTCTTCCATGATCCCAGACAGAAACCAACTAACGAAGGGTATGTCTACACTACAGCACTAATTCGAACTAAGCTAATTCGAACTAGTGCATCTAGACCTAAAAACTAATTGGAATTAACGTTTTGCTATTTCGAACTAGCATGTCCACATTGAGTGGACCCTGAACCGGGGTTAAGGCTGGCCGGAAGCAGTGCCGGCAGGGCATCAGGTTAGGACTTAGAGCGTGGAGCTGCTGTCTCAGCCTAGCCAAGGGCTGTGCTTAAAGGGACCCGACCCCCACCCTGGACAGACAGTTCTCAGGGCTCCCCGCTTGCTTGTCTACATCGATGAGGGACAGCAAAGCAGTCCTGACTTGGAGTGCCCTGAGTGCCCACACTCGGCACATCACAGCACTCGGCCATCAGCCTGGCTGCACTTGCTGCAGGCTGCCATCCAGGGGGAGTCAATCGGGGGGCTGTCAGGATCCAGGAGACCCTGCAGGAGAGCTTCCACCCCGAAGAGCCCACAGAGCCACCCTAGTCCTCCCCATCGGGGGCTCGTACCCCATTCCTCCCTCACCTCCTTCCACTTATCCCTCCCAAACCTCCCTTCCTGATTTAAAAAAATAAACGACACATATGGTCAAAAATAGAAACTATCTTTATTTAACAAAACTAGGGGGGGGTTAACCTCTGGGGAGACTGGGAAAAGGAGGTGGCAGAGGGGAAGAGAGAGGGTGGGAGAGGGGAGGGAGAAACCTGGGAGGAGGGAGTTGGAAGGGGGAAGCCAGGGGAAGAAGGAAGAGGGAAAGTATAAAACTATGGTACGCCATATCTTCAGTACTGTGTACAGATGTGGTCTCCTCACCTCAGAAGAGATATTTTGGCCTTGGAAAGGGTTCAGAAAAGGGCAACTAAAATGATTAGGGGTTTGGGACAGGTCCCATATGAAGAGAGGCTAAAGAGACTGGGACTTTTCAGCTTAGAAAAGAGGACACTGAGGGGGGATATGATGGAGGTCTACAAAAGCATGAGTGGTGTGGAGAGGGTGCATAAAGAAAAGTTCTTCATTAGTTCCCATAATAGAAGGACTAGAGGACACCAAATGAAATGAATGGGTAGCAGGCTTCAAACTAATAAAAGAAAGTTCTTCTTCACAAAGCAAATAGTCAACCTGTGGAACTCCTTGCCACAGGAGGCTGTGAAGGCTAGAACTAGAACAGAGTTTAAAGAGAAGTGGGATAAAGTCATGGAGGTTGGGTCCATGGAGTGGTATTAGCCAGGGGGTAGGAACGGTGTCCCTGGCCTCTGTTTGTGGAAGGCTGGAGATGGATGGCATGAGACAAATGGCTTGGTCATTGCCTTCGGTCCATCCCCTCCTGGGTAGCTGGTGTTGGCTGCTCTCGGCAGACAGGTTACTGGGCTACATGGACCTTTGGTCTGACCCAGTACGGCCGTTCTTATGTTCTAAGCTCAGGGATCAGGGTCAGGGGTTTCACTGGACCACCTTGATTTTCATGCAAACCTGCTCCTGGGTTCGCCTGTGGCCTTTGGTGGCCAGGCTGGCAGCTATCCTGCCCTAGATGGCCACTTTCCTGTGCCTAGTGTGGAGGTCTTGGACATTGGAGGCCTCCCCCCAAACCTCGATGAGGTCCACGATCTCCGCACTAGAGCAGGTGGGCGCCCGCCTCTTGTGGCCCTGGGCAGGCTCCCGGGTGTGGTTTAAAGTAGAAGATTCGGAAATGTGGCTAGTCCCAGGGAGGCGCAGAAACAGGCAAACTATTACTAAATATCTTTTAAACTTTTATTAAAGGGCTTCTACGTATAAATTATGATTTTATCAATTTCTTACATACGTAGGCACCAAATAATTATTAGAATGTCCAATAAGCAAAATGCAATACAGTAAAGAAAATTCCTTGAGGTTTCTCTAAATCCCAATAGTTGTTAACAAGGGACTAGGGATTATTAACAGTTACATTTACGTCAGTCTTACTTATAAGACTAATCATTTATCTAGAACTCTTAACACTATTACTTAACAATACCTCTAAACAATTTCAGAGAACAATACTTACATTTAACAGACACACAAACTACAACAACAACATATTTGGTATTCGTTATGTTTGGTATACGTTAGGCTCTACAGGAACTCGTTTGGTTCGGTGAGCGGGAGGTGGCCCTCGGGTGATCAGTCCTCGGACCTGGCTCATATTCTGCCATCCAATGTTTATTCGGGATTCCTCAGTTTGATGCAGGAGGGGAAGCTGTTTTATAGAGAAAGCTTTTGCACGCTTTTTGTGATAGGCTAGCAGACCCTGTCTGTTAAGTGACAGGAGTAAGGGGGTGAGATGGTTTCCTGTTTTTCCTTTTCTGCCTTATCGGGCATGGAACAATCAGCACAACAGCACGAACTTTACATGAAGTTTTTGGGTCTGGTTTTGGTTCCTGTTCGTCACTGATCTTTAAGTTACATAGTGTAAGGGTTTTCATCAAGGGGAAGTTGACCTTTTGCTTGGATGGCAATGCGCGCGAGAGGCCAGGCCAGCAAAGAGTCTGCTTTCACACCAGGAGCTGCCAGCCTGGTCCCGGGAAGAGGCAGAGGGCTGGGTAGCAGCGGGTGGGTAACAAAGTCCCCTCACACTTTTTCCAGCTGGCCCCTATTTCCAAGGTCATGAACCATTACTGAGCACAGAGCTCCATCATATATGGAATTCATATTAAAAAATCCAGCTTTTCATCAATCATTTATCTGAACAAAGAAAATGTCCCATTTCTGTTTGTGAGGAAACCAACTGACCCAACCATCACACCAGCTACCAGTCATGTCTGTATTGTCTGATATGAATATTGTCTCCCCTTCCAGGATTTCTGCTACAACCATCATCCAAGAACAAGAGCAATAGAAGGTCAGGAAAACTTAGGGTACATATTGGAGGCATTGCTCTACCTCACAGTTCAACCCATTCTCCTCTACTCCATGTCAAATTTGAACACAACCAAAGTCATCAACCCTTCCACCTTCATCCTGCAGGGCATTCCTGGCCTGGAGGCGGCCCATGTCTGGATCTCCATCCCCTTCTGCACATGTTGCCCCGCGTCCTCCTAGCAAGGCAGTGGTCATATTGTGGAACTAACATGGTCCCCCTGCCTTACTGCGTGCACATCACTGTGGTGGGGTTGGCTTGTGGTGACACCCGAGCCAGTAGTTACTACGGCCTCTTTGTGCTATCTTGTATTAATGGTCTAGATGTGATTTTTATTGTTGTGTCCTATATTCCAATCCTCAGGGCCATCTTCAGACTCCCCACAAAGGACCACATCCATCGTGCCCAGAGCACTGAGCATCTTCTGGTTCAATTCCAGGGAGATTGAATTCAGCGCCTGCCTCACCCAGCTGTTCTTCATTCACTGCTTCATAGCAACAGAGTCTGGAATCCTCATAGCCATGGCGTTGGATCGCTATGTAGCCATCTGCCATCCCCTGCGACATTCAACCATTTTGACAAGTGTCACGCTGACCAAACTTGTCCTAGCCATCGTTCTGCGTGGTGGAATGATCACATTGCCCTGCGTCCTCCTAGCAAGGCAGTGGTCATATTGTGGAACTAACATGGTCCCCCTGCCTTACTGCGTGCACATCACTGTGGTGGGGTTGGCTTGTGGTGACACCCGAGCCAGTAGTTACTACGGCCTCTTTGTGCTATCTTGTATTAATGGTCTAGATGTGATTTTTATTGTTGTGTCCTATATTCCAATCCTCAGGGCCATCTTCAGACTCCCCACAAAGGACGCCCGGATCAAAACATTCAAGACCTGCATCTCTCATCTCTGTTCCATTTTAGTGTTTCACATCCCAGCTCTCTACTTCTCCTTCTCGGGACGATTTGACAAGAAGAAGCCTCACCCTGTCCAAATTCTTATTGCCGTCATGTACTACGTCATGCCCCCCATGTTGCACCCCATCATCTATGGTGTGATGACTAAACAGATCTGGGGTCGGATGCTTCATTGCTTTGTCCACAAAGGCTCCTAACTTCACAAAGACACCTAAGTGCTCTGGCTCACAGACCATGGCTTGTGCTGGCTGCGGAGATGGTGCTTGGCCCTCTTCTCCAAGTGGCTCAGTCATAGAGTCACTCAATCCTGTCCTGATCTTACTGTGCTCTGTCAGTGAGAATAACTGATGAATTGGGCTGTGTGGAAATCGCTAGCTCTTAGAGTGCCCAAGTTTCTAATTTCTTGTAACTGTATCCTTGCCCCCTGACTAGTTCCTCAAACACTGACCCCTAATTAAAACCATGCCCTGGGCCTAAATCTATAACTATAGTTGACTTCTTTCCATACTGTGAGCTGAAGTGGCCTCCCACATATGTAGAGGGGAGGAACAGCCTCTAATCCACAATACTTGGTGAAGAATGTGAACAGCCTACTAACCCTTACACTAAATGATCCTGTGCACACCATACTAAAGGTGTGTCTAGTTGAAGTTCTGGAACTTTGAAACAAGCATGCCACCCGCCAGGGGAGATGTGAAGCCCCACTTTCTACCTTCATCCTGTTGGGCGTTCCTGGCCTGGAGACAGCCCATGTCTGGATCGCAATCCCTTTCTGCATGATGTGCATTATAACCCTCTTGGGAAACTTCACCATCCTGTGCATCATAAAGATGGAGTTGAGCCTCCATGGGCCCATGTACTATTTCCTCTGCATGCTGGCCATGACTGACCTGGGTCTGTCCACATCCATCCTGCCCAAAACACTGAGCATGTTCTGGTTCAACTCCAGAGAGATCCATTTCAGCGCCTGCCTCACCCAGATGTTCTTCATTCATTTCTTCATAGCAACAGAGTCTGGGATTTTCGTGGCCATGGCTGTGGATCGCTATGTGGCCATCTGCCATCCCCTGCGACATTCCACCATCTTGACAAGCACCACAGTGACCAAACTTGTTCTAGCCGGGGTGCTGCATGGTGGCTTGGTTACATTGCCCTGTGTCCTCCTGGCGAGGCAGTGGTCATACTGCAGAACTAACATGGTTCCCCAGCCATTCTGCGCGCATATGCCAGTTGTTGGGCTGGCATGTGGTGACACCCGAGCCAGTAGTTACTACGGACTCTTTGTGTTATCTTGTATTAACGGTCTGGATGTGATTTTTATTCTTGTGTCCTATATTCAGATCCTCAGGGCCATCTTCAGACTGCCCACAAAGGACGCCCGGCTCAAAACTTTTAGGACCTGCATCTCCCACCTCTGTTCCATTTTAATTGAGCCTCCATGAGCCCATGTACTATTTCCTCTGCATGTTGGCCATGACTGACCTGGGTCTGTCCACATCCATTGTGCCCAAATCACTGAGCATCTTCTGGTTCAATTCCAGTGAGATTGATTTCAGTGCCTGCCTCTCCCAGCTGTACTTCATTTACTCCTTCAGAGCAATAGAGTCTAGGATCCTCGTGGCCATGGCTGTGGATCGCTACGTGGCCATCTGCCTTCCCCTGAGACATTCCACCATTTTGACAAGCGCCACGGTGACCAAACTTGTCCTGGCCATCGTGCTGCGTGGTTTACTGCGTGCACATCGCTGTGGCGGGGCTGGCGTGTGGTGACACACGAGCCAGTAGTTATTATGGTCTTGTTTTAACGGTCTGGATATGATTTTTATTGTTGTGTCCTATATTCCAATCCTCAGGGCCATCTTCAGACTCCCCACAAAGGACGCCCGGTTCAAAACTTTCAAGACCTGCATCTCTCATCTCTGTTCCATTTTAGTGTTTCACATCCCAGGTTTCTTCTTCTCCTTCTCGGGACGATTTGACAAGAAGAAGCCTCACCCTGTCCAAGTTCTTATTGCCGTCCTGTACTACGTCATGCCCCCCATGCTGCACCCCATCATCTATGGTGTGATGACTAAACAGATCTGGAGCCGGATACTTTATTGCTTTGTTCACAAAGGCTCCTAACTTCACAAAGGCACCAAACTGCTCTGTCTTAGCAACCGTGGCTTGTGCAGAGCTGGCTGGGGAGATGGTGCTTGGACCTCTTCACCAAGTGGAGTCATTCAAACCTGTCCTGATCTTCCTGTGCTCTGTCAGTGAGAATAACTGATGAATTGGGCTGTGTGGAAATCGCTAGCTCTTAGAGTGCCCAAGTTTCTAATTTCTTGTAACTGTATCCTTGCCCCCTGACTAGTTCCTCAAACACTGACCCCTAATTAAAACCATGCCCTGGGCCTAAATCTATAACTATAGTTGACTTCTTTCCATACTGTGAGCTGAAGTGGCCTCCCACATATGTAGAGGGGAGGAACAGCCTCTAATCCACAATACTTGGTGAAGAATGTGAACAGCCTACTAACCCTTACACTAAATGATCCTGTGCACACCATACTAAAGGTGTGTCTAGTTGAAGTTCTGGAACTTTGAAACAAGCATGCCACCCGCCAGGGGAGATGTGAAGCCCCACTTTCTACCTTCATCCTGTTGGGCGTTCCTGGCCTGGAGACAGCCCATGTCTGGATCTCAATCCCCTTCTGCATCATGTACGTTATGACCCTCTTGGGGAACTTCACAATCCTGTGTATCGTAAAGATAGAATTGAGCCTCCATGAGCCCATGTACTATTTCCTCTGCATGCTGGCCATGACTGACCTTGGTCTGTCCACATCCATCGTGCCCAGAGCACTGAGCATCTTCTGGTTCAATTCCAGGGAGATTGAATTCAGCGCCTGCCTCACCCAGCTGTTCTTCATTCACTGCTTCATAGCAACAGAGTCTGGAATCCTCATAGCCATGGCGTTGGATCGCTATGTAGCCATCTGCCATCCCCTGCGACATTCAACCATTTTGACAAGTGTCACGCTGACCAAACTTGTCCTAGCCATCGTTCTGCGTGGTGGAATGATCACATTGCCCTGCGTCCTCCTAGCAAGGCAGTGGTCATATTGTGGAACTAACATGGTCCCCCTGCCTTACTGCGTGCACATCACTGTGGTGGGGTTGGCTTGTGGTGACACCCGAGCCAGTAGTTACTACGGCCTCTTTGTGCTATCTTGTATTAATGGTCTAGATGTGATTTTTATTGTTGTGTCCTATATTCCAATCCTCAGGGCCATCTTCAGACTCCCCACAAAGGACGCCCGGATCAAAACATTCAAGACCTGCATCTCTCATCTCTGTTCCATTTTAGTGTTTCACATCCCAGCTCTCTACTTCTCCTTCTCGGGACGATTTGACAAGAAGAAGCCTCACCCTGTCCAAATTCTTATTGCCGTCATGTACTACGTCATGCCCCCCATGTTGCACCCCATCATCTATGGTGTGATGACTAAACAGATCTGGGGTCGGATGCTTCATTGCTTTGTCCACAAAGGCTCCTAACTTCACAAAGACACCTAAGTGCTCTGGCTCACAGACCATGGCTTGTGCTGGCTGCGGAGATGGTGCTTGGCCCTCTTCTCCAAGTGGCTCAGTCATAGAGTCACTCAATCCTGTCCTGATCTTACTGTGCTCTGTCAGTGAGAATAACTGATGAATTGGGCTGTGTGGAAATCGCTAGCTCTTAGAGTGCCCAAGTTTCTAATTTCTTGTAACTGTATCCTTGCCCCCTGACTAGTTCCTCAAACACTGACCCCTAATTAAAACCATGCCCTGGGCCTAAATCTATAACTATAGTTGACTTCTTTCCATACTGTGAGCTGAAGTGGCCTCCCACATATGTAGAGGGGAGGAACAGCCTCTAATCCACAATACTTGGTGAAGAATGTGAACAGCCTACTAACCCTTACACTAAATGATCCTGTGCACACCATACTAAAGGTGTGTCTAGTTGAAGTTCTGGAACTTTGAAACAAGCATGCCACCCGCCAGGGGAGATGTGAAGCCCCACTTTCTACCTTCATCCTGTTGGGCGTTCCTGGCCTGGAGACAGCCCATGTCTGGATCGCAATCCCTTTCTGCATGATGTGCATTATAACCCTCTTGGGAAACTTCACCATCCTGTGCATCATAAAGATGGAGTTGAGCCTCCATGGGCCCATGTACTATTTCCTCTGCATGCTGGCCATGACTGACCTGGGTCTGTCCACATCCATCCTGCCCAAAACACTGAGCATGTTCTGGTTCAACTCCAGAGAGATCCATTTCAGCGCCTGCCTCACCCAGATGTTCTTCATTCATTTCTTCATAGCAACAGAGTCTGGGATTTTCGTGGCCATGGCTGTGGATCGCTATGTGGCCATCTGCCATCCCCTGCGACATTCCACCATCTTGACAAGCACCACAGTGACCAAACTTGTTCTAGCCGGGGTGCTGCATGGTGGCTTGGTTACATTGCCCTGTGTCCTCCTGGCGAGGCAGTGGTCATACTGCAGAACTAACATGGTTCCCCAGCCATTCTGCGCGCATATGCCAGTTGTTGGGCTGGCATGTGGTGACACCCGAGCCAGTAGTTACTACGGACTCTTTGTGTTATCTTGTATTAACGGTCTGGATGTGATTTTTATTCTTGTGTCCTATATTCAGATCCTCAGGGCCATCTTCAGACTGCCCACAAAGGACGCCCGGCTCAAAACTTTTAGGACCTGCATCTCCCACCTCTGTTCCATTTTAGTGTTTTACATCCCAGGGCTCTTCTTCTCCCTCTCGGTACGATTTGACAAGAAGAAGCCTCCCCCTGTCCAAGTTCTTATTAACCACATGTACTATGTGATGCCCCCCATGCTAAACCCCATCATCTATGGCGTGAGGACTAAACAGATCTGGGACCGGATGCTACATTTCTTTTCTCACAAAGGCACCTAAGTTTTTCTCCAGTGCTCTGGCTCACAGACCATGGTTTGTGCAAAGCTGGCTGGAGAGATGGTGCTCGGTCCTGTTCACTGAGTGGGTCAGTCAGAGAGTCACTAAATCCTGTCCTGATTTTACTGTGCTCTATTAATGAGAAAACTGGTGAATTGGTTTGGGTGGAAATCGTTAACACTTAGGGGCTACGTCTAGACTGGCCCCTAACTCCGGAAAAGTCATGCAAAGCAGGTAA